TGTAATATGTGATCATTAAAGTGGCATATATTTTCATTCCATTAATTGATATAGATGCTGAAAGGATATACTCCATACAAAGCAACACTTTATGGGCAGAATATGCCCTATTTTGTATGTCTGTGGTTGAAAATCAGGTATAAGCAAACCTGAAAACCAAAGGAATTAGAATCATGCAAAAGGCACATATTGAATTTATGTTTATAGATACTAGTAACTTCTGTTTAAATTTCAAGTGTCCTTTAAGTTTTCTAGCCAAAAATTATCTGTAAAATACATTGAAAACCCACCAGTGTTCTTTACAGAAATATTAAGGTGAAGGTGAATTTTTACAGAAATGGTGTGTTTTCCTGTCTTTGGAATTCAGTACGGCATATAAGTGATGCTGTAGTTCCATTATTATATGAATCACTTAGTATATTAACTTTAAAGTACTTAATTTTTAATATACAAAACATAAACAAAGCATCAAATGAAATAAGTTTATAATTGAATGTTACTGTCAAAATGAAGAGGAAAAAAAATATCCTGCTGCTTGTTTTTCTGGCTTCTACCCAGTGCTCGGATTTTTTTTTTTTTTTGCATTTAAGTAGGAGCTAGCCCTTAGAACACTTCAGGACACAAACACCATTTCTAGCTCCATTTTACAGAAAGAGACACCGAACTGCAAAAAACAAGCATGTCTCAATTGCCTGAGAAATGAGAATTTGGAGCCCCATTGGACATGTGTGTTTTCTACCGCTCTTGACTAGGATGCTGTGATAATGCTAGGCACTGTGAAATAATTTTGGTATTTCTAGCTACTTCACAAATGAAAATGAATGCAATAACTCTTGCACGCTCTGCAGTATCCAACCTTACAGGCCATTACCTCACAGTTTAATAGAAAAAAAAAAAGAACAGGGTTCTATCATGAGATTTATGGAGGTTTTCTTAACTCTATGAAAATACATCTTGTGTTCCGACCTGGGTGAAAGTGCACTTAATTTCTTCCATGCAAGACTGATTTTAAGAGTGTCCCAACCATCCTTGGGAGTTTGAGAGAGGCCTGTCAGCCATCCCAGCATCCTACACTGTCTTTTATTCATTTCTGGCTCAGCATTTACTGTGGTGACAGATCATCAGGTACTCATGACAATATTTGGCAGTTCACAGTTCAAGGCAGCAATGTGCTCTGAATGATGGGGTTTACAGTATCTACATGGTTATGATTATAAAATTGTGCATGGGCCAAGGAGAGAAAATAGCCCAGCAGATTATATTTCAGTGCACACATTAGAAGATCAGCATGAGATGCCATCAGTAGCACAGAAATTCATCAACTTCACAGGCACCCAAGCAACATTGAAGCTTTAACATTTACCAGAAATATAACAAGTAATAAAGACAGACAAGACTTGAAATGGTCTAATGGGCCCAGTACAAATGTGGCAGAAGATTAACAGCGCTAAATTCTCCAGCATGGAAACATCCCCCAACATTCTGTAAGCAGTTTGTTCAAAGTCAGGGCATGCAAGTACAAATAGTTGTGTCAGCATAAATATGTTTCTGGGATGGACACACATTCTAATGCACTTTAGTCTATGTAGTAAGATTGAATTCATAGTCTTCAAAAGTGTTTTTGAGTTTCACCCTAATGCATTTTACCTCCATACACTGTAGTAATCCTTCTAAATTTGTCAAGTTTTTATCATCTATTGATGAAAACACTTTCTTCTTTTTGTAGTTGTGTTTGTATTTAGCAATGCATAGCTTGGTCTTCCAAAACACTAACTATTTAATTTTTATAATAATGTACTTGAGGTACACAGAAACGTAGGCAAATAACATGAAATTCTAACTTCCCTACCAAGTGATATTACAACATATTCAGTGCGTTTGAAGCCCTGTGTTGGCTTTTTCTCAAGTGTAATTTATCCTCAACAATATTTTTTTCTGCTGAGTTGTAGTTTATCATCCTTAATACTCATATAATATATAAGGTATGGGTTCGGGGAGCTAATGAAAATATCCACTATGTCTTCATGTTAAATGTCTATCTCCATAAAATACATACTATTATTTGAGTGTTTTGAAATTTTATATAACTAGAATCATTTATGAGTATGACAAATCTACTATTTTGTGCATGTGTCTGTGTATTTATGCATGCTTGCAACTTTGCATGTACATGTATGCATAGCGGCCTGAAGAATCTTCCTTAATCACTTTCCACCTTACTCACTGAGACAAGATCTCTCAGTTAAACCAGAGCTCACCAATGTGACTAGTGTAGCCACTCACCTTTCTTTGAAGATCTCCTGTTTCTACTTCCAAAACAATGGAATTAAAAGTAGGCCACTATACCCACCTGACATTTACAATTCAGGGGATCAGAACTCTGATCGTCATACTTGCATGGCAAGTGTGACCCAACATTTCCCCTGTTCCCAAACTTACTTTTACAGTAGTTTTCAAAAGTTTTTGTTGTTGTTTTTTTTTTTTTGTTTGTTTGTTTGTTTTTGTTTTATGAGAAGGGGTTTCTCTGTGTAGCCCTGGCTATCCTAGAACTTGCTCTATAGACCAGGCTCGACTTGGGAGATTGTCTTGCTTCTACCTCTCAAGTGCTGGCATTAAAGACATGTGCCATGACCACGCTGGCGCGCTGTTTTTACAAAATTCATCTAGTTCACTTCTCTTCATCACTTTTCAGCACTGTGTGATGATACTACAATTTGTCTATCCATTCACCTACAGATCTTTCCCACACTATTGTTTTTGCTTATTTATAAACTACAAGCAACTTTAAAAAGTTTTCCAATGTCTATACTAAACAACATTGAGAAAAGGGAGTATGTGTGTATTGATAAGCAGTATTTGCTCACGGCAGAGTCTAAAGAACATACGCTGCTTACTATTCAGTATTTGTAGCTATGTCACTTATTTTACTGAGAAATTACTATTGTAGGCACGTTTTTGAGATGTAACAGCATGCAATAGTCAGATTTACTTTTCTTATTGTTAATATTATTTGTTCCATAAAAGTAATGTACATGTGGAAATTAGTGGCTGTCACTGCCTTGTTCTTCTATATATTCTTAACATCTCATTCATTGCTTCGTCATATACATGAACATTCACAAGTGTTTCTCAGTTGAAAATACAATTCAACCTTCATTAGATACAGTTCTGTCAACTAAAGATTGCTGTGGAGGGGGGACATCCTTTCCATGACATGAACCTTAACAGAGAAAATAACCTGAAATATCATAGAAGTATAAACAAAATACTGAAGGAAAAAGAAGGTGAATCAAGTCACATTTGTAGGCTGAATCTAGCCCCATTCTTAAACTTCAATCGCTGGCAATTGTGTAGATTTTTAATGCTTTAAAGTGAAAACTGACAACAATATTGCAATATGCCTTTGCTTAGGTATTTAAAAGTTAAAATAGCACATTTGCAAGTAGCAAAGGAATAGCTGTACATAAACATGTTGAAAAAGAGGCAGGGAATAATCATAATTCTAATTCATAATAAATAACTTAAACAAGTACAATATAGCTCCATAGACATAAATGGTTCTTGCTCCACAAGTTACTCACTTGAAATAAAAAGCTTTTTTAAAAATCAATAGATGAAGTTCATATTGTCTCACAATGCCTCTGGGAGAACAAAGAAGTAATTTGAAAGCAAGGATGGGCAACCCCTGGTCTCTACATTGCTTGTTTTTGTTGCATTTATTTTCCATTTTTTTCCCACTAAAGATTTGTTTTCCTTCATGCAAAAAAAAAATTGATTACAAAGGTAGCACATGAACATTTTGAAAACTTGAGCGACCCCCCACAAGTTTACAAATAAATAAAAACTTCAATACTAATCTTATTTGTCACATATAAGCGCTATTGATGTTTTAGCAGACAGACACTTTCTTATCAGTATGCATAGATTCGTTTCAACAAAGCAATGTATATTGTAGAACATTTTGCGACCTTCACTACATGATATATGTTGTGTATGTTTTCCACACATCATTAACTCTTATTCCGATTTTTAAAAACTTTTTAATGATTCTTTGTAGATTTCACATCGTGCTTCCTGATCCCATTCATCTCCTGGTACCGTCGTATCCGCCTCTGCCCTTGCAACCTCTCCCCTCTCTCTCCAAATAAAATAAAATAAAACTTAAAAGAAAAACCAAAAAGCAAAAGACAAAAATAAAAATAAACAAAAACAAAACAGACAGCTTGTTGTGGAAGCTGTGCTGTGGCCCAGTGAGTCACACAGCATACCCTTTAGTCCATACATCTTTACGTGTAAGTGTTCACTGCAATGAGTCATTGGTGTGGTTTGAAGCCTCTTGCTTCTGCTACACTATCGATACTGGGACTCCTCTGGGTTATCCTGTTCATGCCTTGTGTCATGGAGATCCTGCAGCTTTGGATCTTCGTGTTAGGTCCCTTAATATGCTCCAGCAGTCCATAGATGCGGTGCACGTTGGGGTGGGACAACTCATAGTCCTGATTCTGGGCCTTAGTGGTAGCCGGCTTGGTCAGCTCACCAGCTTTCCTTCATCATCACCACTGGAGGAGCGCTCCAGAGGTATCCCAGCTGGCGCATCCAATGCAGTAGGGCTACAAGGATTTGGGCCAGTTCTCCTGTTCTCATGCCCTCCATACTGCTTGCTGGCACCCACACCACCTGGGCCATCTCTACTGCTTTGACCAGATGAGGTGCAGGGCCCACTCTCTTGAGTGCTACATTTGGTGAGGGACAAAAGCCAGCTCTGTCCTGCCAGCACCAAGTGGCAAGGAGCAGGAGAGGGGCCTGGGGACATCTCTCCCTTTCTTCACAGTATGGCAGATGGGAATGAGGTCAGATATTCTACGCATGTTTTCTGAGCTGGATCATAGACCATGATTTATTCATTCACCATGACTTCAGGTTTGAAACTTTGTTTCTAGGTTTTCTGTTTGTTCATTTTTTTTTTTTTTACTTTTATCTACATTTATTTTATGCTTAATTTATTCCTGTGCCTTAAGTGTTTGTTTCTTCAGTTTCTTCTGGGATATTTTTTTCTTCTGCTCAACCTCCTCTTCTGGCTTTAGAACAATCTGCTCCTTTTCTGTGAGGATCATCTCAATATGGCAGGGAGAGCTCATGTATGGGTTAATCCGGTCATGAGCTCTGTAGGTTTGTCGGCGCATCTTAGGTGCTTGGTTCTTCTGGATGTGTTCAATGCCCAGAGAATCTACATCTAGACCCTTAAGCTCAGCATTACTCTCTGCATTTTTAAGCATGTACAGAAAAAATTCAGCACTCTTTTTTGGCCACCAACCCTGTGTCCAGCCCCACTGTTTGACCTGGGCACACCTGCCTACTCCACCATTGTACCGCTGGAATGGCCGACATTGCTTCTTCAAAGTGATATCGTGCAGGTATTTGGTGGCTTTTCGGATATGCATACCCTTGATGGCCTGGGCAGTTTCACGTGTGTTCTTAAAGTGAAACCGAATATTCGGTCCTCTTGACTTACATGATTCTGTAGGGTTTTCTGGGTCGAGAGAGTAGCGAACCATCTTCACAGGTTACCTCAGGCCGCTTTTTCCCCCCTTATTAGCAACATCATAGTAAGCATCCTAATTGATAAGTATTTATATCCATAATGATTCATTCAGCTAGCATAATTTTCTCAGAGTCAGATGCTACACATATGTGTAATGTTTTTATGAACTGCCAAACTGTTTCTCAAAGACATTCCACTCATTTCCACCCTCATTTTGACAGTTTGAGAAATAGTAGCTCCTCAAACAATAGCTCATACATTTCATTAAAGCACAGTTCTGTTCCATCCCCTCTATCCCTTGTGTCCACACCCTTTGCCATGCAACCTGTTAGTGGCTGCTTGATGTGGCTGCTTGTGTTCTTGATAATTGCACTTCATTTATCTAAGAATCTTCAGAAATGCTTGCTCTCTGCTCCGTTTCCTAGGCTAACTCCAAGAAGAGAATAAAAACAGAAACAGAAAAGGTAAGTCTCCACTCAACTACAAAGTGTGTTCCTGAATCCAGCAAAAACTGAATCTTCTTGATTGAATACAATCAAGATCAACCAATACCCCATTGGGCCAAAGAGTTAATAATAAGACATTTTTGGGTTTGGGCCACTTTGGGGAATAATTTATCATATAGTAAATAACTAAATGTTATGTCCTCAATGTTGTTCTTTCCACCGAGCTTACAGTTAAAATTTCAGTGCTACCTGAATATGGGGCTGGCAAGGTGGTTCAGTCAGTAAGGTGTATGCCTTGCAATCATGAAGACCCATTGAGTCTGGGTCTTCAGCAATCCCATAAAAAGCCAGGAGTGCATTTCAGTTTCAGTGAGAAACTCTCATCTCGGAAAAATGGCGGAGAGCAACTGAGGAGGGTACCAGACATTGACCTCAGGCCTTCACACATTAGTGCACACTCATACACATGTGCCTATGCCTACATTAAATGTGCACATCACACACACACACACAATTACAGGTTACAAGGTATTCAGTTATACCTCCTTATTCAGAAAGCCATCATTCAGAAACATCTGATGTGTCATTATTAAATGGTGATGGCAGAATTCTAAAATAATATAGGTGTTAATATTTTAGAATTTTCCAGCTTTATGGTCTCTCGTGAACATTCAATGTACAACAGTGACACAAAAGCTCCCACAAGCAACACGTGAAGGGATGGGTGTGGCTGTATTCTGATGTATTTTCATCTAAAAATTTACCATGACTTCTTTGCCAGAAATATCTATGTCTGACGTGTTTACCAACCTAGCGAGTGACTAATGCCTTCCCCCATTAGTCCCACAAAAGAGCTAAATTTGGCACTTCTGGTAGATACATTTAAAGATGTTTTATACACACACACACACACACACACACACACACTGCAACACAAACATACTCTGTGGGTGGACGTTTCTATGACTCTGTGCATAAACTAAGATTTCATAGATTAGGAAGTGACAAAGATCCATCTTGTTCAATTTCCTTAGAAAACTGAAGCTACCAAGAACTCTCAATAAAAACAAAAAGAAAACCCTCCTAATGTATCTCCTTGAAAGCAATCACGGGTCAAAGGCCCGCTGCTGCCAAGGAGATGATGGTTGGAAAAAAAAAAAATATAAAGGGCCGCTGGTCAATCTTGAAAATAGAAAATAACTGAGGAGAATCTATCAAAATAGGTGATGTGTGAAAATGAGGACTTCCCAACTTGGTTCACAAAGAAACGATTTGAAATGAAAACCCATGAATGCGTGAATGAATGAATGAATGAGTGATTTAAGAGGTGCTTAGCGAACTAATGTCAAGTCAGCCCTATCTCAGTAAAGGTTAATTGAGGTAAGGCGGCTGTCTCATCCACTGGGGGTGCAGCCCACAGTGAGAAGCTTGGCTACAGCAGCAAAGATTTGTACAATTTTAAAGTGATCAGAACTGGCCACGGTGCTCTCTGGTTTTAGAAGAATTTAGTTACAGGGTCACACCGTGCAGAAAAGAGTGATGGGTCACATCGGGTGTTAGAACTGAACCGCCAGTGTCAGTTTCTAGGTGTGTCAATTGAGCTTACCTCTCTTATCCTCCATTTTAAAAAGAAATGTGTAACATGAACCCAGTCTTGCAGAGGCGGAGGCAGGAGGATCAAAAACACACCCTCACAAAGATGAACATGTGTGTACATAAAATAAAAATAAATAAATAATTTTTTAGAAGTTCCAGGCCTTCATGGTCTATATAAGGAGTCCCAAGCCAGTTTGGGGCTACAGTGTGAGGCCCATTCCAAAAGAAGAAGAAGAAAAAAAAAAAAAAAAAAAAAAAAAAAAAAAAACAGAAAGATAACATGAATACAATAATATAGACTAAACTGTAGGATTACTTTGCAGATTAAAGGAATACGCTTAATAAATTTAGACTCTCATCACAAGGATTAAATATATACATTATTTAGCTATTTGTAAAACCAGTGCTAGGTTCAGGATAAAACAGGAGTCCTGCTCTTGTGGAACTGTAGTCTGTGGAGACACAGCAGGTAGTTACGATAAAGTCTGAGCAGTGTGACAAGGACATTCATAAGAGTCTTTGGGGAAACGCAAGGAATTGGCAAATCAATTTTCTCTATTGAGTCACAGGTACTGTATGTCTCTGTGTGTGTTTTATTAATAATAATTATTAATACTACTGTTGTCAAGTTACTGTGACAATTAAGTATAATCACCATACTGTCATCTCCTTTTGAGTTAATGATTAAAGATTACTCTCCTCAGCATGGGCATTGGGATGCAATCAGGGTCTGATGAGTATTTGTTGAACTAAAGCTCTTAGTAAAGAAAATGCTCACTTTGGTTTTAAAAAGTTAAAAAAAAAATATGATTCAAGAGGGAAAGTAATTAAGTCTGCTATTCTGGGGCCATAGTCTGTATTTTTGAGGCTTCATTGGGTATATGTGATATGCCTGTTGGCAGTTTGTGGATGAGACAAATATGAGTTTGTGTTTCCATTCCCGCCATTATAACTATTGTAAGCCCCAGGTAAGTGACTTAATCTCTATGAAAATTTGTGTATAAGAGGATGTTTGTAGGGCTGAAGCATTAATCCTCCAGCAAAGGCGTCTGAGGAAGCCCTAGCTTACTAAAGGAACATGATAGTGTGTGTGAGAGGTAATTCCCAAGAGCTCAGGAGAATGAACAGCAAAGGGAAGGGGAATGAAAAGGGGTAACACCCGAAGCAATGTGAAGACAGACAGGTTGCTACTGCTGGAGAAACATGGGCTCAGTTCCTTCCTAGAAAGTTTCAATGGAAGGCTTCAGGGTAGATTCACCAGGTAGAAAGAAAGCTGGGATGTTCACACACCAACCTGTCAGTTTCATTGACTAAGAGATACACCTGAAGGCTGTTGAACCCCCAGTTCTTCCAGGCTACTGTGTGAGAGATGAGCAAACTCTCAGGGCTTTGGAAAAAGTTAAGAGATCCTGGCTGAGAGGCTGAGGGATGGAAGGTTCAGGATAATAGACACTGTTATGGAATTTCCAACCTGGTTCCTCAACTGCCTTGCCACAAACGAACACACAGAGACTTACATTAATTACGAAACTGTTGGCTGATGACTAGGGCTTCTTATTGACCAATTCTGTCTTATTAACCCATTTCGTATTCATCTAAGTATTTCTTGATGGTCTTATCTTATTGGAGAAGCGTCTGGCACATCCTACCTTCCTGGTCTCACATGGTGTCTACTGTCTGCCTACACTTCCCAGAATACTCATCTCCTAGTTCTGCCTATCTCCCTGCCTCTATTGGCCACAGTGTTTTATTCATCAACCAAGGAGAGAAACATATACACAGAAGGACTTCCCCAGTCAGGACACTATCTTCACACTAATAAATATTGATAGGAGTTACAAGTGGGCAGATGCTGCCATGAGGGTGGGAGAAGCGTCATCTCTGGGTTCTGCAAATATCTGAACTCTTCCTGCCCTTTTGTCTGCACACTAGGTCAAGAACAAAGTCTATGGAGGGCACGTTACAAATAAATGCAATGAATGATCTGTTTATACATAATAATTTATTTTAAAATACATTTATGAAAAATATATTTAGATAATAAAAAATAAGACTGTAGCCAATGTGGTAGGTAACCCTGGACAACTATTCCATTTCTTGGATAGAACATAAAATTGTTTTCCAAGGTCAAGGACATGTTAGTCAAGTGCTCTACTTCTGAGTTACACACATACCCTTAGCAAAGAAGAACAACAGAGGATCCATCCTTGACTATGATAACTAGCTTGGCTACTTAGGAAAATACTTTTATTCTTGGCAAGAACATACTGAAGGCTAACAAGAAAGTGGATAGTGATTACATCTTGATTTAAAATGTTTAACAACCTCTCTCTCTCTCTCTCTCTCTCTCTCTCACACACACACACACACACACACACACACACACAGGGGGGGGGGGTAAGATATATGGAAAAATTTCAACAGTATAGGTAAAGACAGAGCATGTTCACTATGGGAGGTTCAGAGGTCTTTATGCCCACAGATAAGCACTAAGTGAACTAGGAATAGTAAACGCACAGGCTGTTCCTTCAAAGGGAGCATGCCTAATCAGTTCTATACCAAGAAGGCTGGTATAGACATAGTTAATAGCCTGGTGACTTTTTTGTACTATCTGAGCAAACCACGCTGGATTCTCTCCCCAAACTCTTATCATGAATTTGTCCATCTATATAGAACCTATCTTTATGGAAGATGTCACATGTACTTTCCAAAGAGTTTTGATGTAGGCATGTTGTGCAAGGACAAACGCTGTACCAACAACCCCTCATTATACTTTAATTTTATTTTAGAGAGGCTTTAAGGTTTTCAAAGACAGTAGGAAAAAATATAAAAGGAAGAATTTGTCTCCATAGGATTAATCTGCTGTGAGGATTAGTTGATAGCTCAGGGAGGAACAATGTGTCATGTGGCTGAGAGCAGGGACCTCTTTCAGACTGTGTGGGCACCCTCTGTACTTCCTAATCACTCCTGG